TACATGATTATCAAGTTGCATTTCATATGCCATTTTAGAATAGCCGAGCCTATTTCTAGTTGCATTTTGCATGTGTTGCATTAGCTATCTTAACATAGCTAGGATCATGTATTAATTATTAACTAGCTATTGTTTTGGCTAAAGTACTAGGTAAGCTTTTATGCTTTAGTATCTTGCATGAGTGTGAGTGTTAACATGACAGCATGCTTGCCATGAAGCTAACTGCTTATGTGTTAAATTGCCTGAATGCCTATGGATGAAGGCTGGATTACTTGAATTGGAACAATTCATCAAAATGCGAGTTTTAAGCCCAATTGAGAGTGGCAAAATCATGTTTTCTAAGCCCACTCGAGGATGGCAAATCCACGTCTTAGCCAACTTACGAGTAGCACAATCAAACCATTTTCAAACAAACAAACATGAGATGTTTTGTTCAAACTTAGGCGATCTAGTCTATAATTGTGTGTTGTGCGCATCACATAGTAATTCTAGGCTAATAACCGGAATAAGAACGCATGCGTTTTCAAAAACAAGATGTCATGTTAGTAAAGGCCGGTCTTTGATTGGGCGAGCAGGGGTGCTCATTGCATGACCTTTCCCACTCGAACCCAAGTTCCCGAGCCAAGGCAACTTTGGTGATGACAGACATGTAGCCTTACGCAACGAGTCAGGATTTCCTAAATTTTTCCAAAAATAAAACATTTAGGTGGCAACTCTGTATCTGGCAAAGCAATCTATGTTTGACACTTCTTTACAAAAATCAATTTTCCAAAACGATTTGTCGGATTTGGACTCTTTGGTGATTTATCGATCTTGCTTTACACTTTGCAGGATTAGATTCAGAACTGTGACTTTGAGTCCGAACTGTAGCAGCTAATGAACAAAACAGATTTCGCTCTGATTTCGCGGGCGGAGCCGGGACGTTCGGGCACGTCTACACAAGGCTAGTCCAATCAAGTAAACCAACAATATAAAATACACAAATTAAATCTTAAATTATCATTATGCAAAAATCCATAAGTAATAAACCATCATTGTCATATGAAATTATCCACCAAGTTCACTACTATAATCCGCTAACAAACTAATAACCCAAAGTAAATTAAAATCGTAGTCCTACTCTCGGCACTCCCACAAGTAAAAACTCCGCACGGCTCTAGTCCTCGGAATTTGAAAAAATAAAATAAGGGTAAGCTAGACAGTTCAGCAAATAACCAACCATCACTGCTAACTGGATCAAGTATACAAAAAAATAAATAATCGATAACTAATAAATATAATTTTTGCTACAATTCAATAAATGAACAATTATTTGAAGATAAACAATGTACAATACATTTTAATTTAAAAGTCAACAAGATAATTCAAAGTAAATTTGTTGTTCAAATCGATGGTTCGATATTCAAATGGTTCAATGATTTGATTCACAAAACTCAAGTCTTGGTGACTATGGTCACTTAGCTCGTTACAAGGGCCAAAACCACACCTAGGCCGGTGGTGAAGCCCCAAAAGAAACTGGTTTTTATGCCAATAAATAACCCCCATTGGATAGGGTCCAAATCATAGTCAGACTAGATTAATGTTCAAAATTCAAACAATACACAACTTTTAAATAAAATATTCAATATTTTCAGAATAAACATTTTGTACAATTTTTAGAATAGTTTCACAAAATATTTAAGTAATTTTCATAATAATATTCGATACTGTTTTATACTTGACCCATATTTTATTTTAAGAGAACATGGAGGCTATAATGAATATTTATAATTTTAAACGATTCAATAGGAATAAAAATGTACCAACAGTGATAGAGGATTACTTACCTTAAACGCTTAAAATAATATTCCACCACACTAACTCCAAACATCCAGCTCCACCAATTCAATCACACAAACCTAATAAGTAGAACCTCAAATAAATTAATATTTTGATGAGTTTCACACATCAACAAGAACTCATTATATATATATATATATATATATATGCAGTGCCTAAAATCCAAGAGACACCAAATCAATCCACTCAATTTAATAGACAAACACACCTTATCTAATATACCAAACTCTATTGTCAAAACTACACCTACACAATAGATTGCACTGTTATCAAGAACCCACACAATACACTATACATGTTGCACCATACATCTATTAGGCATCCCCACAGATTTTCTTTTCCTATGACCTTTAGACTGCCTATTGATCCATTTACATATAATAAACAATGGTGTAGAAAGGTACCTTAATCAATGAGCATCAAGAATGTTCCCCTCAATTCCTATCGCCACTTCCCTTGAATCCTCTCTTTTTTTTTTCTTTTAGATTTTTTTAAACCCTTGCTGCCTCCAAAACCCTCACCAACCCCTGTTTTGTTTTTCCCCGGACTTAAAGCCACAACATGTGGGCTTATTAACCTGATTTCCCAAAATTACAAAATTACCCATCTAAGTAATAGAAATTATAATGCCATCTCTGTAGGAACCCACATTTTATGTTCTCATCATGTTCATGAGCATCTGTGTGATTATGACTTGTTAAGTTTGCATGTGTGTGTTGTGATTTGTTTCGCTTGAGCTAATGTGATCCATGCCTTGTTTTGAAGCCTTGTGATTTGTCTAAGTGTAGTGTACTTGTCTCATTCCTTCCTTGATGTAAAAACTTAGGTCGCGCCTTGTCTCTAGCCGATGTTATTCCAAGCGAGGTCACCCTTAGTCTAGTAGCAGCATCTTGGAACCCCTTGTTGATCTCCGTCCTTGCCTCGACCACGTTAGCCGAGATGTCACCTTGCACCCCAGTGATCTCGTCCTGGAGCGGTATGACCTAGGCCGAGGTGTGGCGCATCTAGGCCAAGATGTGGCACAGCTTAGTCAAGTGTTGTCCTTCCTAACCGAGGTCATTGTCACCTTAGTTGCCGAAGTCCTTTGTTAGCCGATGCCACCCCTTGCCGGAGTGTCATTCCGTGCAGCTTGTTAGATATGCCTTGTTGTTAGCCGATGTCATAGCCTGTCAGAGAGCCCATACCGCTTTGCTTGTTGAACACCCTTCCACCATGCTTTGTCTGGCCTGTCAGCCACCTTTTCAGGATGAACCCAACCAGTCGCCGCCACGTGGTCTCAGCAGAGGGTTAACCCCAGAACCGGTATAGAAAACTATCATTTGGTATCATAAACTTGCCTTGTAGAGAGAGAAGCTCTAGGAGGAAGAAAGAGTTTTAGAGTGAGGAAGTAGATCTTCAAGCTTGATTCTTAGAGATCGAACCGTTAAATCCGTGTTCTAAGGTTAGATTCTTGATCTGCTCATGATGTTCTCTATGTTCGTGTTATTGCATTGCATGATCGGACATGATTTGTAAGCCATGTATCGTTTTGAAGTTTGATTTTAGAAAGAGAAAATGACATTCATGTGTTCTTCAAGAAAGTCTTGTTTTGATCCGAAAGCTTGCATAAAGAATCATGTTTTCGTGTTTATTTCCGCAAGAATTCCAAGTACGGTACCCAGGTCCATGTTTTCAAACTCATAGCACGAAAATCCTAGATTGTGTGATGACAGATTATGATTGAGCATTCATATTTTTCATGTTTTCACACTCATGTTCTTCATGTTCATCAACAGAGGGAAACCAAGTTTCCCGACCTCTTTCCTTGCATGTGGCCCTCGGGAACACACCTCGGCGAGGAGGTGTGGAACCTCGGCCTAGACCTGGTTGGTGCCCAGCATGTTTTCCGAAAACATTTGTGTACATACGAAACTTGTTGAGGTGCATTCAATAGGCTTTGCCATGTGTTTGTAGGACTTGGGCTTGTCTCGACCCCGACGTGTGAAGAAACTATGTGAGTGGTATTTTTAATAAAGCTATGTTACACTTGCTTTCATAAATCTCGTCTTGCCTTGTTTTGAAAAGTACTTGATCTAGCATGAATGACTATCCCTATTTGTATAATAAACACTATCTTGTTTTGATGACATTTTCTGAAAGTCCTTAGCTGCAGGGGACTATAATGCAACTGCACTCTTGTCATGAAAGTCCTTAGTTGCAGGGACTATAATGCAACTGCACTCTTGTCTTGAAAGTCCTTAGCTGCAGGGGACTATAATGCAACTGCACTCTTGTCTTGAAAGTCCTTAGTTGCAGGGGACTATAATGCAACTGCACTATAATGCAACTGCACTCTTGTCTGAAAGTCCTTAGTGCAGGGGACTATAATGCAACTGCACTCTTGTCTTGATATGTCATCACCCTCTTGTATTAAGTAGATGTATAAACATCCAAAGAACTTGAAAGGCCGGCAATGAACTTGATTTTCCCTTGATTGTAAAGTATGCTATGTATTGTTTTGAAAGAAATCTTGGATATCAATCATGCAAAACCTTTATTTATGATATCATTCACTGAGTATCCAAGCTCACCCTCTCTATATATATGTAGGTGATGAACAAGAAGGCATTGAGGCCTAGACGTGATTGCCGATGTGTTTTGGGGTGCTTTGCCGACATGTTTTGGATTAGCATTTTTGTACCATCTTGAAGATCATGCTTCTCGGCTTATTTTTTTTCATTTGTACTTGTATATGTCGGCTTGAGAAGCCTTTTAGTCAAGATGTGTTTTGTATCTCATTTCCTTATTGTATTTAAGTTGTAAGACTTTATAAAGATGTATGTCATTTCATCGGACTTATGCACGACTCTCATGGACTATTTAGATTCTGTATATGTATATGTATTGCTTCCGCACTTGTAAGCCCCATATTTTATACTCTGATTGTGTGTGATTTTGAAAGTTGGCCTTCGGTAATTACGGATTACTGGCCATCACGGCACCAAACTACTAGGGGCGGTTTGGGGTCGTGACAATCTCATAACTAATTCTTTGATATTATTAAATGACCCATATAAATGAATTTAATTACTAATCTATCCAATAAAATAATTCTACACACAACTTGGGTTTTACATTCTTCCCCACTTAAAAGAAATTTCGTCCTCGAAAATTTTACATACCTGGAGTCTCAAAAAGTTGTGGATGCTTTTGTCTCATTTCATCATCAAGTTCCCAAGTGGCTTCTCTTTCCAAGTGATTGCTCCATTGAACCTTAACGTAGTGGATGACTCGACGCCTCAAAACCTGCTCCTTTTTATCAACAATTCTTACAGGGCGTTCCTCATAGGTCAAGTCCTCCTTAAACTGCAACGGTGCATGATCAATCACATGATTGGGATTCGGTACATACTTCCTCAACATTAAAACATGGAAGACATTATGAACTCCAGCTAGTGAAGGCGGTAGGGCAAGTCTGTAAGCTACCTCTCCAATTCGATCTAAAACCTCAAATGGTCCAACAAATCTAGGACTCAATTTACCACGAACACCAAACCTCATTAATCTTTTCATAGGAGACACCTTAAGGAACACATGGTCTCCAACCCCAAACACCAAATCACGTCTCCTGTTATCTGCATAACTTTTCTATCTACTTTGTGCAGTCCGAAGGCGCTCTCTAATAAGATTGATCTTGTCCACAGTTTGCTGTACAATCTTAGGCCCTAACAACTTCCTTTTGTCCACAGCTTCCCAACAAATAGGTGATCTACACTTCTGTCCATATAAAGCCTCATATGGTGCCATCTGAATGCTCGCATGATAACTATTATTATAAGAGAATTCCACTAAGGCCAAATGCTCATCCCAAGAACCTCCAAGATTAATAATACAAGCCCTCGACATGTCTTCAAGAGTTTGAATAGTTCTCTCTGACTGTCCATCAGTTTGAGGATGAAAGCTCGTGCTAAAATTCAAACTAGTACCCAAAGCTGTATGCAAACTCCTCCAAAACATAGATACAAATCTGTTATCTCTATCAGACACTATGGTTACCGGAATACCATGCAACTTCATAATGTCCTTGACATACAATTTTACAAACCTCTCTAAGGAGAACACCACCTTAAAAGCTGGAAAGTGGGCGAATTTTGTCAATTGATCAACGATAACCCAAATAGCATTGTTACCACCTTGGGTTCTAGGCGACCCTGTCACAAAATCCATGGTAATATGTTCCCGCTTCCACTCGGGAATAGGAAGAGGTTGTAACTTACCTGCTGGTCTCTGATGTTCAACTTTCACTTGTTGACATACCAAACATTGAGCAACATACTGAGCAATTTCCCTCTTCATATTATTCCACCAAAAGTTCTTCTTCAAGGCATCCACCACTGCATTGGCTTTTCCTAGATGATAATTGATAGCCAAATCATAGTCCTTTAATAGCTCCAACCATCGTATTTGCCTCATCTTCAATTCTTTTTGAGTAAAAATATACTTCAGACTTTTATCATCAGTGAATATCTCACATTTTACCCCATACAAGTAGTGCCTCCAGATTTTCAATGCAAACACCACTGCAGCCAACTCCAAATCATGTGTAGGATAATTTTGCTCATATGACTTCAACTGCCTAGACGCATATGCCACTACCCTATCATTCTGCATCAAGACGCAACCTAAGCCCATCTTCGATACATCACTATAGATGGTAAAACCTTCATCCCCGGAACGGAACAATAAGTACTGGAGCAGACACCAATCGACTCTTTCGATCCTGGAAACTCTTCTCACAATCATCAGACCACTCAAATTTAACCCTTTTTTGTGTTAAACGTGTCAAAGGCATATAAATTTGGGAAAATCCCTTAACAAACCTTCTATAATATCCTACTAAACCCACGAAGCTATGAATTTCAGTGACACAAGTAGGCCTATTCCACTTTATCACAGCCTCTACTTTCTTGGGGTCAACAGCCACCCTGTCTTTAGATATCACATGACCCAAAAATGATACATTCTCTAGCCAAAATTCACACTTCTTTAATTTAGCAAACAATTTCTTCTCTCTTAATATCTGCAACACTATTCGCAGATGCTCTTCATGCTGCTCTTTACTGTTTGAGTACACAAAAATGTCATCAATAAAAGCTACCACAAACTGATCTAGGAAGGGTTTAATTACTCTGTTCATTAAATCCATAAAAGCTGCAGGCGCATTAGTAAACCCAAACAACATCACTAAAAATTCATAATGCCCATACCTAGTTCGGAAGGCGGTCTTAGGTATATCCTCCGCCTTAACCTTCAACTGATGATAGTCAGAACGAAGGTCAGTCTTAGAAAAGACTTGTGCTCCTTGTAACTGATCAAATAGGTCATCTATTTTGGGCAAAGGATATTTATTTTGAATTGTTACCTTGTTTAACTCTCGATAATCAATGCAAAGGCGAAAACTACCATTATTCTTTTTCACAAATAAAATAGGCGCACCCCAAGGAGAAACACTAGGCCTAATAAAGCCCTTATCTAGTAACTCCTGTAATTGTTCCTTCAACTCTTTCAACTCTGCTGGGGCCATCCGATACGGAGCCTTGGAGATAGGACCCGTGTCAGGTATTAATTCGATGGCAAACTTAATCTCTCTATCTGGTGGCAACCCCGGTAAGTCTTCAGGAAAAACATCGGGAAATTCCTTTACAGTTAGAATATCCTCTAACTTTAATTTAGTTTCACGGTTATCTCTCACAAAAGCTAAATAACCCTCACAACCATTCCTTAACAACCGTTTAGCTCGCAAAGTTGAGATTACCAGAGGAGGAGTGTTGACTGCACTACCCACAAAACAAAATTTTGGTTGGTCAGGAATCTGAAATACTACCCTTTTGCCTCGGCAATCAACAGAAGCATAATTGGTTACCAGCTAATCCATCCCAAGAATTATGTCAAAGTCCCGCATATCTAAAACAGTCAAGTCTACAAGCAATTTCCTGCCATCTATACTAACCACACGAGATTCGCAAATTAAGTCAGCAACCATAACACCTCCTATCGGGGTTTCAACACATAAGTAGATCTCTCTAGAGACACATTTCCATCCATGTTTCTCAACAAATCCCATAGACACAAATGAATTTGTAGCGCCAGAATCAAATAACACATTTACTTAAACAGAAGACACTAAAACACTAAAACAGTACCTGACGCCACTGTGTTGGAAGTCTGAACATTTTGTCGCATGAATGCGTACACTCGGCCCTAAGTCTTTGGCTTATGACCTGCATTTCTCTTTTGATTTCCTGAAGACACTTTGTCTGTCCGTGCTTTCTGTTCAGTCTTACGCCCCTTCTGGTTAGGGCAATCAGCTATCCTGTGCCCCTATTGCCCGCAGGAGAAACAAGCCCTAGTATTCCAACGACACTCACTATCCCGATGGAACCCATTACATCTAGTGCATTGTACCCGATCATTCTGCTTGTCAACACTATGACCCACAGTTTGACTTCCCCAACTCCCAACCGAAGAAGTGTTTTGTTTCTTAGCATTGCCCTTCGAGTTGTTGCTAGTTTGGAAGTTGGAAGTACTAGGTCTCTTCTTATAATTCTCTTATTTCTCTTCTTGGGCTCTAGTGAGGCCACTCTTAACCAACAATGCCTTATTGAACATTGCTCCAAAAGTAGGTAACTCAAAAGGAACAACTATTGTATAATGTCCGTTCTTAGCCCACTTTCGAACTTTCGTACTCTGCTATCCTCGTCTGCTACAAATGCTGGTGCAAATTTAGACAACTTCGTAAACTCAGCTTCGTATTTTGCAACCGTTTTATTTCCTTGCTCCAACTTAGAAAATTCCCTCTGTTTTTGTAGACGAACACTCCTAGGGAAGTATTTCTTATTGAATGCATTCTTAAACCTTTTCCATGTATATGGGTTGGCATCATGCTCATGTATGCACTTCTCTATTTGCCACAAATCATTAGCTATCCCTTGTAGCATACACGCAGCATAGGTCACCTTTTGATCATCCGTACACTAAAAAACGGGAAATAAATTTTCTATTTCTGTCAACCATTTTTTAGCCTCCAAAGGGTCTGTGGCTCCCTCAAATGCCAATGTTATCTTCTTAAACTCAGTAATGTTACAACGTGGCCTTAGTTGTGGCCCAACACCTAGCTGAATCCATTGTTGTTGCTCCATAAGTCCGGTCAAGTTATTTCCTATGGTGGTTTGTTGTTGCACCACCCCGGCCAAAGTCTGAAACCCTTGAACCATCCCATCTAGATTGGGGATTGCAGCTTGCTCTTGTTGTCCTAGCTCTTGCCCCTGATTTCTTCTGACTGTTTGAGAACCACTACCATTATTAGTTACATTCCCTCGTCGGTTGTTATTACCAGTTCGTCGATTCGTTTGACCTTGGCCTGTATTCTTATCCGTATTTGCCAATGTCTCCTCATGTTCCATTGCAACCTATATGCATCAATAATCAAATATCATCTTATTCCATTCTCAAATCCCTATAATATATTAATAAAATTAACAATGTTCCAAATTCTAAGCGTTCCCAATCCTACATCTACCCAATCTCACCACTATTCTATACTAGCCTTTAAAATTACAACCTGGCTCTGATACCACAAAATTGTCACACCCCAAGCCTCGTGACAACGCCGCACACTCATCTAAGTGAGCATGTAAGGCTAAGAGTCCAATCAAATAAACCAACAATATAAAATACACAAATTAAATCTTAAATTATCATAATGCCAAAATCCATAAATAATAAACCATCATTGTCGTATGAAATTATCCACCAAGTTCACTACTATAATCCACTAACAAACTAGTCACCCAAAGTAAATTAAAATCGTAGTCCTACTCTTGGCACACCCACAAGTAAAAAAACTCGCGCAACTCTACTCCTCAGAATCTAAAAAAAATAAAATAAGGGTAAGCCAGATAGCCCAGCAAATAACCAACCATCACTGCTAGCTGGAACAAGTATATAAAAAAATAAAAAGTCGATAACTAATAAATATAATTTTTGCTACAATTCAATAAATGAACAATTATTTGTAAGATGGTTTCATAGCTGAAAATAAACAATGTACAATATATTTGAATTGAAAAGCCAACAAGATAATTCAAAGTAAATTCATTGTTCAAATCGATGGTTCGATATTCAGATGGTTCGATGATTTGATTCACAAAACTCAAGTCTTGGCGACTATGGTCACTTAGCCTGTGACAAGGCCCAAAATCACACCTAGGCCGGTGGTGAAGCCCCAAAAGAAACTGATTTCTGTGCCAATAAATAACCCCCATTGGCTAGGGTCCAAATCATAGTCAGACTAGATTGATATTCAAAATTCAAACAATACACGACTTTTAAATAAAATATTCGATATTTTCAAAATAAACATTTGGTACAATTTTTAGAATAGTTTCACAAAATATTCAAATAATTTTCATAATAATATTCGATGCTGTTTTATACTTGACCCATATTTTATTTTAAGAGAACATGAAGGCAATAAATAAATATTTATAATTTTAAACGAT